CAGTATGGAGATTTATCAGAAAATTAAGAATAGAGTTGTCATATGACCCAGTAATTCCACTCCTTGTTATCTATCCTCTGGATACAAAACAAACAAACATACAAACAGAGAGCTTTTTTTTTTTAAGTACTACTTACTGTAGTACTTAGTACTTAGGATATGGTGTTGATAACAGATAAGTGGGTAAATGGTATATATACATACAATGGAATACTATGCAACTGTAAGACAGGATGAAATCATGGAATTTGCTACAAGCTGAATGGAACTGGAGAATATCATGTTAGGCAAGTAAGAAAGAAGAAAGACAAACACCAGGCAATTTCACTGATCTGTGATACACAGAATAATGTGTTATGGGAATGCAAGATCTCAAAGGTAGGAAACATAGATTACCCTAATTTCTATAAGGAGAGGGAAGGAAAGAAACCAAGGTGGGGTGAGGGGGGGGCAGGGAAGGAGAGTAAGAAGAAGCATATGGGAGGTCAGGAGGCTCAAGGGTCTCGGACACATAAGTGATATAAAATCCAGTATATCTATATATCTGAATCACAGAACCAACAAAACTGAAAGCCTGAGATTCAAACTACAAAAACCAAATTTAAAACAATGTGCCTGTCAAGGAGGCAGGTTGGGGATGAAAGAGAAACTGGGAATATTGGTAGAAGGAATTTGACACTGGTGATGGAATTGGTGTTGGAATGTTTGACTGAAAAAACTACAAATAACTTTGTAAAGCAGTGTCTTAATTAAAAAATTTAAAACCATCTACTATCTTAACAAATACCAAGTGTATAAAAAGCATTTTAGCTATCGTCAGCATGTTATATACTATACTACCCAGAATTTATCACTGAAAGTTCGTAACCTTTGATCAATAACTCCCTATTTTATTCTAACCGCACCTCTCTGGCATCCATTTTGTTTCTTGAATTCAGCATTTTTAGACTGCACATACAAATAAGATCATACAGCATTTATATTTGTCTTTCTCTGACTTATTTCACTTGGCACAATGCCCTTAAGATTCATCCAGGTCAGGGCTGGAGTGATAGCACAGTGGATAGGGTGTTTGCCTTGCACATGGCCAACCTGGGTTCATATTCCCAGCATCCCATATGGTCCCCCAAGCACCACCAGGAGTAATTCCTGAGTGCATGATCCAGGAGTAACCTTTGTGCATCGCGGGATGTGACCAAAACGAAAAAAAATTCATCCAGGTGAAGTTGGGGAGATAACTTCAAGGGCTGGATCACATGCTTTGTACAGTGTGTCACAATTTCCATCCCTGCCATCATCAGAAGGTCTCCAATCACCACCAGACGCAACCTCTGAGCACTGCCGAGGGGATGGTCCCCACACCCCCAAGAAAGATTCATCCATCTTTTACAAATGGTAGTTTCTACACTTCATGGTTCAATAATACTGAACATAAACAATTATTTATCCATTGATTTGTGAAATGTCACTTAGGTTGTTTCTGTCTTTACTGTGAATAACACTAGAATGAACATGAAGGTATATATATACTTCTCCTAGATAGTGACTCATTTAGTCTGGATATATATCTGTAAGTGGGTTGGTAAATCAGATGGGAGTTCTATTTCAAATTTCTAAAGAACTTCTGTACTGTTTTTCCATAGTGGCTGTACCAATTTACATTTCTATCACTAGTGCACAAGGGCTTTCTTTCCTCCACATCCTGCCAGGATGTTATCTCCGGGATTTTTGATAATAATCATCCTAATACATGTAAGGTGACAACTGACTACTGTTTTGATTTGCATTTCTCTGATGATTAATGATGCTGAGTATCTTTTCATGTTGGCCATTAATAATTTCCTCTGGGAAAATAGCATCTGTTCAGTCCTTTGTCCATATTTTAATTGCATTATTTGTTTTATTTGGATCATCTGGAGGGAATTTAAAAATTTTTTTTTTTGCTACTGAATCGAATGAGTCAGTCATTTAGTTTGAATATTAACCCTGAAATAGATATATGATTTATAACTATTTTCTTCCATTCAAAAGGCTGCCCACCGTTTTTTATTTCTGCTGTGCAGAGGCTGTTTTGCTATAATTCTACTTGTTTGTATTTTCTGTGTATGCAAAAATGTATATCTATTGATATATGCATTAATTACACTCTTTGACAGAACCAAATCTCTCTCTACTTACATTAATTGTGTTGCATCACTTGGAAGGGGGTAAAACATTAACTTTATTCTACAACTCCGTTTAATATTATTGAGGATTCCAAGATTTGTGTTCTCCTCTAGATCACGGTAGATCACGGTCCTCCCGTTGTTCATCGATTTGCTCGAGCGGGCCCAGTAACGTCTCCATCGTGAGACTTGTTGTTACTATGTTTGGCATACTGAATACATCACGGGTAATTCAGGTTTTACAAAAATAACAAACACATATTGATAATGTATTTCTTCTGTTGTTTTATATCAAGGTTCATTCATACTTTCAGCTAATTACTCTTATCTTATTAAACTGAGTGGAAAAGCATAGTAATTTTTACACCAATTACAATAATTTAACAAAGAAACATCTTGCAGCAAAACTACCAGGTGTTTTAATATTTTGTTCAAAGATGAAAAATGTAATCTGTAATATCCACAACAATGTAGCAGAAAACTCTTCAATTTCAAGTGACAACAGAGAACAATGGAAGAAATTAAGTCAGTCATAAAATTATATCTTAATGTAGCACTGTAGCACTGTCTTCCCATGATTCATAGATTTGCTTGAGTGGGTACCAGTAACATCTCCATTGTGAGACTTGTTACTTTTTTTGGCATATAGAATACTCTACAGGGAGCTTGCCAGGCTCTGCCGTGCAGGCAGGATACTCTCGGTAGCTTGCTGGACTCTATGAAAGGGACAGAAGAATAGAATCTGGGTCGGCTACATGCAAGGCAAATGCCCTACCCACTGTGCTATTACTCCAGCCCATATCTTAATGTATACAAATTAATATAAAATCATCTTCTATAGTTTTTGCAAAAGCACAAGTCAAATACCACAAAATCTTCCTCCATACCGGTAGATATTTAAAACAAATTATTCTTCCAGAATTTCCAGAAGAAATAAAATTTTACTACAGAACACTATATGAATAGCTAATGATAAAGAAAACAGGTCAGTAAATAATATCAGACTTAATAATTAATTCAGTGACAATTCTTATCTCATTAAACATGAATTAAAAAATTACAACAGGGTTAGAGAAATAGTGCAGGGGTTAAGGAACTTGCTTTGCATAGACCCAATCCTGATTTTATCCCTGGAACAAAATATGGTCCATGAAGCACCACCAGGAGTGATCCTTGACCACAGAGCCAGCAGTATGTCCTAAGCACTGCCAAATGTAGCACAAAAACAAACCAACAACCAAAACGATAGCAAACTTTCTTCTTGCTCAACTATATACCAAACATTTTCTAATTAGTAAATTTGCCAATTATTTTTATCTATGTAAATTCATAGGTACACATTTCCATACTAAATGCCACATATAGTAATAATAATCTTTTAATGAATGCTGAAGAAATGTAACACTAAGCTTGATAAAGCAAAGAAAAATTTGATGCCTAGGAACAATTTTTAAAAAATAGATAAAACAAGAGGTTAGTTTTATAAAAATTTTAAATATAAAAAAAGAAACCCGAGAGATATACCTAAAAGAGCATATTCAGTCATTCAACCAAAAAAACTAAATAAAGAGTAAGACACAATTCAAAAGTGAGGGGGGCTTTTGTAAAGTCAAGAACCCCTTTTTTTCATTAACATAAGGGAAGGTTCACTGGCAGCCAGAGTATCCCTGAATCCACTCTGGATCGATCCAAGAGTAAGAAACTACACTACTAATTAACCTGTAGAGAGTGAAAAGATCATATGGAAGTCTAACTTATACAATAAAGACGCATATGCTTGTAAGCATATATAAGTAGTAACACAATAAACAATTACATACTGCTCAACAGATCCATGCTGTTAACATTTTGTGGAATCCACCCAAAAATTCACAGATTTATATATTTTCACGAATTTGTACAAAGTAGGCTGAAAGTGTTCTATTGCTGAACTACACTTCAAGTCCCTCAAAAAGTATACTTAGGGCACAAGGGTGGGGTGCAAAGGAGGGATTTGAACCACACAGGGCTGTTCACAGTGGCTATTTCTGCCTCTGTACTCAAAAGTGACTCCTGGCAGTACTCAGTGGACCATATGTGGTGTTCGGATTTGAACCTGGGATTGTAAGATGCAAGGTAAGGGCCTTAACTTCTACACTCATTGGTCCCAGAAAACATAATTTTAATATTACCACTGGAAAGCACAGTCAATAAAACACAAACTTCAAAGTACTAAAGAAAAAAAAAGTTTATTAAAGGGGCTAAGAGCGACAGCACAGTGGGTAGGGCATTTGCCTTGCACACGGCCAACCCAGGTTCGATCCCAGCATCCCATATGGTCCCCTTAGCATCACCGGGAGTAATTCCCGGGTGCAGAGCCAGGAGAAACCCCTGTGCATTGCTGGGTGTGACCCAAAAAGCAATAAATAAATAAATAAATAAATAAATAAATAAATAAAGGGGCTAGATAGAAAGTGAAGGAGGTAAGCTGCTTGTCTTGCATGCAGCTGACTCTTTTTCAATGCCTGCAACAGCACATCATCTGGTCTCCTGAACACCTCTAGGAATAAACCATAAACTCAGAGATAGGAGTAGGTGCTGAGCACCATCACCCAGGCTGACTCAAATTGCTCTTTCCAATTCCCAAAAAAGGCTATTCTTGGTGAGCTGGATTAGCAACAAAAATATCATCCAAGAATGAAGGCAAAATAAGGTATACCATAAAATTACTATTTTATGATCCATTTTTAAAAAGTAATAGTGTACATGACAAGAATGGTTTGCACAGAACTTTGCTATTTTGTGCACCTGCTGGGAATTTAACATTTTCAGCAAAACCTGAAAAAGGTACTTTACCTGCCATTTCTTTCAAGGGCGAAAGTGATGCCATCTTTCTGGAAAGGAAGTAGTTTGGCTCTTAGTTTGTCAGGTAAAAACTCCAGCTGACTATGAGAGTCACTTGTCAAACAAGAACTCAGCGGTGCACGAGACTTTTTTATGCTACGAACAGCAGACATGATGATTCTAAAAGAATGAAATAACAAAAGGAAAAGGTAGAAGAAACAAATATTACTTAATATGACTGAGAATAAAACAAAATTAAAATAATATACTTAGAAATAATCTTGATATACTATCAGAATAAATATAAACTTTTTATATCATGTCCTCAGAATAAGCCACTAAGTAAGTTCAAAGCACTGAGTCAAGGTAATTATTTAATACACTACCAAGGAACTCAGCATCCTCTAATTCTTATTTTTAATTGAGCTATTATGTAGCCATACCTTTGATTTAAGCAATAAATGATTTACTGGAAAGTTAGAAATTAACTAGATTTTAATTGTCCCTGGCACTTCAAAAAAAAAAAGAATTGGCTGGAGCAATAGCACAGCAGGTAGAGCGTTTGCCTTGCACACAGCCGACCTGGGTTCGATTCCTCTGCCCCTCTTGGAAAGCCCGGCAAGCTGCCAAGAGTATCTCGCCCACAAGGCAAAGCCTGGCAAGCTACCCGTGACGAATTTGATATGCCAAACACAGTAACAAGTCTCACAAGGGAGACATTACTGGGCCCGCTTGAGCAAATCGATAAACAACGGGAGGACAGTGCTACAGAATAATTTTTAGAGGATGAATTTATTATAGAAAGTGCATCACTTCACAGTTCATTTTCATAATTTATTTTTATATCACATACATTTCAAAGAGGGAGGTAAAAACTTAATTAAAAAATTATTATCTAGGGGCTGGAGTGATATCACAGTGGGTAGGGTGCTTGCCTTGCACCTGGACGACCAGATTCGATTCCCAGCATCCCATATGGTCCCCCAAGCACCGCCAGGAGTAATTCCTGAGTGCAGAGACAGGAGTAACCCCTGTGCATCGCTGGGTGTGACCCAAAAAACAAACAAACAAACAAAAAACTACATTTCAAATGGTAGTTTTGGAAATGTAAGTTAGATAATATATATATTATTTAAAGAGTAATACTATCAATAGAAAGGCAAAGAATTTGAAGAGTAATAGTATCAATAGAAAGGCAAAGGATATTGTGCACACAGAAATTGAGCTTTGTTGTTGTTGTTTTGTTTTGGGTCCATATCTGGCTGTGCACAGGGCTTACTCCTGGTTGCACTCAGGGATCACTCCTGGTAGGTTCAGAGGAACCATAAAGAGTGCCAGGAATTGAACACAGGTCAGTTGCACGCAAGGCAAGCACCCTACCATCTGGACTTTCCAGAAATTAGAACTTTTTGTATTGTTTTGGGACCACATCTGGCTGTGCTCAAGAATCATTCTTGGTGACTCAGGGGACCATATGAGGTGCCGCAAATCAAACCCTGATTAGCTATGTGCAAGGCAAGTGCCCTATCCACTGTACTATTTCTCTGACCCATGGAGAATATATATTGCAAGAGGACTTGGTCAGTCTAACAAAGCTCTCCTTGCCATTTCCCACCTGAGTAGGTAACTGAATTCAGAAATTATTCATGACTCAGAACTGTCTAAATAAGGTATGCATAAACATCAATGAGTGCATTGTTAGTACTCTTTCAACAACAATAAAACTCTGATAAAGAATAATGAATGGTTCACAGGAGGGTGAATTGTGAAAGCAGGAAACCTATTATCTGACTGCAACAGATAAGGCAAGAAGCATTTTTGGCAGTGGATCTGGATTCAGGAAACATACCAGAGGTAAAGCAAATAAGATTTACTGATAGACTACTTGTGTTTCCAGGAAAATATGGAATCAAATTGTACATATAGGGTAGACTCAGCTGATAAGTACATGTCTTCACATGTATATGGCCCTTTGATCAGTGCCCAACACGACAAAAAATATATACTCTTAAAATTTACAGCAATAATGAAGAATACAGAAGAATGGGCAGGGCCCCGGCAGCCGAAGACCTCCAGGACCAGCCACCACCATGCTGAGACCACTCTCCGCACACCTGAAGGTACCAGCAGAGGGACAAAGCCACGTGGGTTCCAGGGCCGAGATCTCTAAGCCTACTCGGATTGGAGTCGAGCATCCTCCACCCAGATCCTCCAAATTCCAGTAGGCGGGGGTCACACCCACCAACTGGCCCCCTGGTGCCATGTAATCCATCGGCGGTCAAGACTCTGAGACTATAAAAACCAGTTCCCGGACATCTTATTATGACATCTCATTCCTACTTTGACAAACTGGCAGGCTACCGAATGTAGCCTGCCCACACGGCAGAGTCTGGCAAACTCCCTGTGGCGTACCCAATATGCCAAATACCAGTACCAATGATGGGTCTCATTCTCCTAAAGAGCCTTGAATATAATCTCAGGGCTAGGATGAAGGAGACGTTACTGGGGCCTGCTCGAGGCAAACGACAAATAACAGGATGATCTGTGATCTGTGATCTGTGACAGAAGAATGGATTGGCAGGAGGACCTCAACAGATCTTGTAGGAATATTTAAAGTTTAAGATGGCTATAAGACCAAAAGTGAATATGCCAAATAGGCTTGGAAATACTTGAGTCTAAAACTCTAGAGAGAACTGGAGACTCTCTACATGTATTTGGAAATCAACATAGGATAGTGAAAAGATCCAACATTCATTATTTGGCAACTATATCACTGAACATCTGGGAACTCTTCATGTTTAGGAATTTCCTTATGTTACATATCTAAATGGGGTACATCTTATCTCCCAATTGAAAATATGGAAATATCAAAACAAATTCTTGCGTTTACAGTCTGCCACCTTGCTACTGGGTTTGCTAATCAGTTACATGGATCTGAACTTTCAACTAGAAAGTCAAAGTTCAAATTAAAGGGATTATATAAAACTCTTTCAATCAAGGATAGTGGCAGCAGAGCCACATTTGCTTCCAGAAGTAACAGTGGTTCCTAAGTACTTGTCAAGATCAATGCATGAATAAGGGACAGCAAAGTTGGCAAGAGGCTAAGAAAGAAACCCACAAATTCATCTTATTGACTTTCATCTTAACATTTATATCAACACTGTAAAACATTTTACTTAGGGGTAGTCCCCAAGCAATACTCAAGGAATCTGGGAGTCACTCTGGCATTAGTCAGCCCACTATGCACATCTGACCAGTGCTCAGCCAGAAAGATGCAGTACCACCAAGGTCTTCAATTGTGCCTGGGTGGCCCTATGGTGCCATGAGTTGAACTCAGGGCCTAATGTTTTGGAGTTATGTACTCAACTCTTTGAGCTATCTCTCTGACCCTGTGAAAATTCTTAATGAGGTGCAGGGAGATAGCTGAATGGGTCCCTCAAGAAATGAAGCTAGAAAGCTGAGCACTGCCGGGTAGAGACCCAAGACAAATCATTTTAATGAACTCTTCAATGAAAATATGTACTAAGTTGGCATACATAATATGCAAAGCAGTTTATATAATTTCTTTTGAGTGAATCAGGACTGTGTTTGTAAAACAATAATACAACTAAAGCTCTTGGTGGAAGATGTATGAACTGATATGCTCCCCAACTGGAACCTCCAAACAAGTTTTCAAGAACTTAAAAGTATACTGAGGCTGAAAAGATCGCAGGAAGGGTGTTTGCCTTGCACATGGCCAACGCCATTCAATTCCCAGCACCCATATGTCCCCACAATCCTCACCAGAGTGATCCCTGGGTGTAGAGTCAAAAGTAAGCTCCAAGCACTGCCAAGTGTGCCCCCCAAAACAAAACAAACAAAAAAGGAATTTAAAAGTATAGAGTGGGCAAAGTAAAATGAACAGAACACGAAAGTTTTAGTTAACACCCCAAATTATTTTATTTTCATTCATTCGGGCAATTGAGGTTGGGCCACACTTTCCTGGCTTTAGGCGCAGGAGTGACCATTGGTACTAGTCAGGGGATCATATGTAGTGCTGGAGATTGAAATTGGGGTTCATCACATGCAAGGCAAGGAATGTATGGGCTCCTTAAAACAATCTTATTAAAGGCACTCATACTGTGCTTCAGAATTCTGAAAATTAGCTGGCAAATGTGAGACTGTGTATTTGATCCCTGGTACCACTACCCTTGCACTCACAGAGCAGCATGTCAGCAGCACTGCTGTTTGGGATCCCAGAACCCACAATAAAGTGTGTGACCTCCATCACACCACAAGCCTGAGTACAACTCTTGATGAGCATCACAGTCAAGTATGCAATCACCACAATCAACTGTATTGTAATCCCAGTCATCACAACAACAATGGAAAGGGAAAGTGAATTTTAGATTCTTTAATATAAAATTATTAGAATGAAAAATCTTTCATGTAAGTTAGTCATATAGTCTTATTTGCTGCAAAGATCAGTTGAAACCAATACTACATAATAAAAGAACTTGGGTTTAATCTTTCCTAATTATCAAGAAACAGTTAAAATTATTGGGTACTTAGAACATGCGTAAAAACAAAATAAGTATGTATGTCTCCATTTATGGAAACTATAGAGGTTTCAGTTCTTAAAATTCAGCAAGAAAGGTTTCATGTATTATATATGCCCAAGTTTCCTTTAGGTAGGTTGAGGGAGCTATTAAGATGGAGTGAGCAATATATAACTTTTAATACCATGTACTATTATCAACACAATAGCAATTGGCCAGGGAAATTTAGTAAAAACAAAATCCAGCAGAACTCATTTTCTACGCAATTCTCTTGGTAAGCAACAGAGAGGAGAATGAAGGAAAATTTATATTTTCAACCTAAGATAAAGATGGCATGTTTGTAATCAACTGGGAGCATGGCAAATTCAACTGAAACTTGCTGATGAATTCTTAAATAAACAGGATACTGAGAAGAATGAAATACTGTTTAAAAGAACAATGTTGAAACATTGTATTCCTGAAACCAAATCATAAGGATTTTGTAATTCATGATAGATTAATGTTTTTTTTTTAATTTTTAAAATAAATGAATAAAAAGGACAGGGACATAGTTCAAAGAGCTAAAGTGAATGCTTTGCATGCAGGGGTCCCACGTTTGATACCTGGCACAATTCCCAGCATAGCACTGGGAGAGGATTCTAG